CATCTGTTTGGTGGCCAACCTAAAGAGTGAAGGGTGGTGTTGAACGTGTGCTGCTCATGAGTTCCAAATATGGAACCCAAAGCATTTAGGCTAAGAACACAGGCAAAGACATGGCTCAGGAGACAGCCACTACTGGCCACTGACCACCCACTGCTGCAAGACTCCCGGGTCCCCTCCAAGAACAGCCCTGCCACGTTGCCTCTCTCCTTCAAAGGTCAAAGTCCTGGGGAGAGACCTCCCACTGGGCAAGCCGGGTCATGTGCTCACTGCTCTATTGTCAGAAAGCCAGGCAAGATTCTGCCCTTTCAGCTTCTAGATGAGGAGACGAGGAGACGTGGCTGTCCCCTGCCCCCCAAGCCCTTTACAGTTTAGGATTTCAACATAGGAGAGGCATTTCTCTGCTGAGTACCATGGTTCTCCTCAACTTGCAACCGGCTCCTTTGCCTCCGGACCTTGGCACATGCTGCTCCCTGTGTCCCCTTCCTCTTCTCCAGGCAAACTCTCCTCATCCTCAAGGTTTTGTGTCTCTTAGATGTCACTCCGCCTCAAATCTGAGACTGGTGCCCCTCCGTTGTGTTCCCACCGTAGCCTGTACCTTCCCAGCCTTGCCCTCATCCCTGCACTGAAATCGCCATCTTACTTGAGTTTTGTTCCCCCCTTGACTGCCAGATCTATGAGAGTGGATACCCTGCCCTCCTTGGTCAGCACCAGATCCCTGGCACCAAGCACAATGCTGGGCACATAATATATGCTCACTAAACATAGGTTGAATGAATCAACTAAAAAATGAATGAGATGAATATTAATGACATCACCCTCCCCCCAGTCACCTGGCCCCAAGACTCAGACATTATTATCCCTATCTGGTCTGGGGTCAGTTCCCATTAATTCTACCTCCATAGGCCAGTCCCCCATCCCCTTTCTCCTGGACTTTTGCAAGACTCCCTGCTGTGGACATCTGTCATTTCTGCATGCCCAATGGCTCTTCCCTCTTATTTTAGAAACTGTCAACATGGGCTTTGGGGGAATACTGCTCCCACTCCCGCCATCTTGAGGGAACTATTAACCAAGGTACTCTCCACCTTTGCCAAGGGCTGAACATGAGATCCAAGCCAAGCCAGAGCTTTGAATCTTGAGTACAATGACACAGACAGGGAACAGTCAAGCTGACTCATTCCAGTCACAGCATCAGAACTCATTTGGGGGCACCTGGGTGGCTCAGTTGGTTGAGTGTCTGCCTTCAGCTCAGGTCATGATCCCAGGGTCCTGGGATCGAGACCCACATCGGGCTCCCTGCTCAGTGGGAAGCCTGCTTCTCCCTCTCCCACTCCCCCTGCTTGTGTTCCCTCTCTCACTATGCCTCTCTCTGTCAAATAAATAAATAAAATCTTTTAAAAATTTTTAAAAAAGGAGAACTCATTTGTTGGGTTTAAGGGTAACCTGACCCAAGTTTAGAACCCAATGATAGGTAGCTACAGAAGTAGGACAGAAGAAGATCAAAATATCACCTTTATTACTGACAGAGTTGTTGGAGATGCACCTTTAGGTCTGACAGACAAGTGGGATTATTAATACTGAACCCCAGAAAACAATCTTTTCCACCCAGTCTCAGGCAGCGCTGGGAAATCATAGTCTTCCCTGTGAGGGTCAGATCCTGGGAAATTTAGAGCATGGAAGAAGAAAACAAAAAATAAACGTGTTTCTTGTGGGCAGGTAGATCTGAAAGAGAAAGGGGGGAAGAGATGAACTGAGCTTCATTTATTCTCCCTAAACTCAACAATCAGATAAGTCACTCCTCCTCTTCCTCTGGAGGGGCAAGAAGCAAGGATATTACTCTAGGGGTGCCTGGTTGGCTCAGTTGGTTAAGCAACTGCCTTCGGCTCAGGTCATGATCCTGGAGTCCCTGGAGCGAGTCCCTGGATCGAGTCCCTGGATCAAGTCCCGCATCGGGCTCCCTGCTCGGCAGGGAGTCTCCTTCTCCCTCTGACCCTCCCCCCTCTCATGTGCTCTCTCTCTCTCAAATAAATAAATAAAATCTTTATATATATATATATATATTACTCTAAAAAAGGTCCCTCCACATGGAAAAAGCCAGAGGAGGGAACAAATATTCCCCTCTGCCTTGTCCACTTATTCCTGATATTTAGATTACCCAAAGCAGCTCCGGCTCCTATCATTCCAGAGGCCACCTGTTGTACAGCTGTATCATCCCAGCGGATTCCTTCCTTGATTGATGTAGCCAGAGTCTGTTTCTGTTCCTTGTACCCAAAGAACATTTATGTTTCCTATTGTTGCTGTAACAAATTACTACAAATTTGGTGGCTTAGAACAACACAAATTTATTATCCTACAGTTCGGGAGGTCAGAAGTCCAAAATGGGTCCTATGGGGCTAACATGAAGGTGTCAGCAGGAGGTGTGTTTCCTCTGGAGACCCTAGGGGAAAGTCCGTCTCCTTGCCTTTCCAGCTTCAGAGGCTGCCATCATTCCTTGACTTGTGGTCCCCAGTCAACAATCACACCACCCTGACCTCTGCTTGTGTCATCACGCCTCCTTCTCTGGCTCTCCTGCCTCCCTCTTATCCTTATGAGGACCTTTGTGATTATATTGGGTCCATCCAGATAATCCAGGATAATCTCTCTCCATCTCAAAATCCTTAACTTAATCACATCTGCAAAGTCCCTTTTGCCATGTAAGGCAACATGGTCACAAGTTTCAGGGATTAGGACGTGAACATCTTTGGGGCGGTGGAGAGGGGATTGTTCTGCCTACCAAAAAACACGAACAGAAATATTTCTTAGCTTGTCTTGCATTCATCTCTTTCTCTCCTCTCCAGTCTGTCCTGCAACTGATCCTTATAAAATGGGAATCTGATCATGATGGTTCTACCTAAGAAACTTTCCAATTCCCCAAAGCCCACTGGATAAAATCTACAGCACACTCTACTCTCCCTCTCTCTCTCTTTCACACACTCCTGATGGTTTGATTTGAATGTTCTCTCAGCCTGAAATGTCCTCCACCCCAAAGCCAAATCCTCTGTATCTTTCAAGGTCCATCTCTTTCACAGAAACAGCCAGGATCCCAGCTACACTGTGGCTCCCACATCAGCAGAAACGGCCTGACTTGTTATCTGGCATTGCTGGGCACCAGCCAGTCAGACAGACCTGAGCTCAGATCTGCTCAGCCACAGGCTCACCTCTCTGCGTCTTAATTTCCTCTATTAAAAAAGTGCAGAAAATAAAGTAATTACATATATAGTTTATTGTGCAAATTAAATGAGGTAATACATGTAAAGTGTCAGCACAGGGCTGGCATGCGGTACCCAATAATAAGTAGATGTAGCAGTTATTATTACAAATTAAGTTGAGTGAATAAATGAATGAAGCACTCCTTCCTTCCCCAGGGCTATCAATATCCCCCTTATGGTCTTTAGTATGCCCCCAAAGACTAGGACATTATTAAAATTTGAATGAGTAAACTTTACACTGTGTTATTTCTGTATAGTTTCAGTTGCTTTCCTTCCTGAGGGATCCGTGCCTGGTAGAAATCACTGTAGGGATTGGTGGTGGTAGAAAGGGAAGACTGCTCCTATGCCCCTTGCCTGGTGCCCTGGGCACAGCAAACCTCGATAAACTCTGGCTTTCTTGGAGTGAAGTGAATGTTGGCTACATAGAAGCTTCCACCAGAAAAAAAATGTGCTTGTTCCTTACCCTCCCCCTCACCCCACAAACCCTGTGCTCTCTGGGGCACCAGCTCATCATCCACAGTCTTAACTGTGACCCTGCCACTGTGTGGCTCTGGGCTAACCACTGCATATTTCCCTGAAAAATGGATTTAACAATCTCTGCCTCTTTTAAGGTCAGGCACCTTGTAGAAGTCCAGTGCGGAGAGGGGGGATAAATGTTCATTTCTTTTGTGAGGTAAAATAGAAGCGACCACACCGAAGGGAGAGCAAATTCACCACCAGGATGTAGAAAATGAGTTGCTAAGGGCCTGTGGGGAAACATAATTGTTTCACAATCACACTTCTGACTACAGGTCCAAAGGGGCCCTTGGGGCAGGTCTTGCCAGGTTCTCAGGGATTGCTTCATAGGGGGTGTGGATGAAACTCCCGCAACCAAAAAGCTGTAGAAATGCTTTTCCTATCTAAGAGAAGCTTATCTCTTTTGAGAAAAACTACCCTTTCCTGACTTAAAAAGGTTGTTTTATTATAAAAGTAGTATCTGTTTATTATGTAACTTATAGAACGAAAATATAAACATGCACAAAGAAGGGGAGAGGCCCGTATAATCACAGTGTACAGAGATCATCGCTTGTAACTCAAAGGTGGGATTTTGTTGTAACTGTAATTTTGTATCCTGTTTGGTGAACATTTTCCCATGTGTTTAAATATTTTATACAATGGGGGGAATTGCAATCTATTTAACCAATCTCTTGTTGAACGTTTGGGATTGCCTTTGTTTTTGTTTTGTTCTTTGGTTTGCTTATTTGAGCCTTTTTGGCTGTTTTAAGTGCTACAAGTAATACCTTTGTTACACAAATCTTCACGCATATCTTTCTTTGATTATATCTTGAATTCCTGGAAGTGCAGTTGTTGGGCCAAAGGATATTGGATACATATTATCAATTTGTCTTCTAAGACTGATTTCACCCATTTGCACTCCCAGAGCTAATTTCATAGGACTTCACCGGAGTTGCCAGTGTCATTAACTGTCAAAGCCAACCTGGAACTCCCAGCCGGGCCTTTGCTCTTGCTGCACTTTTTCCCGCCCACTCCGCGCACCCGCCGCGAGCCCCAACCCCCCACACACACCCCCGGCGAATATGATGGCCCGCCCCTTCCCTACTCCCGCTCCGATTCTGTCCAATCAAAAGCAGCCTTCTCCAGTATCGCCGCATGGTTGGTAAGTTGAAGTGTCCGTCACCCTCAGGGGCGGGCGGAGCGACCTGACGGACGTGGCGGCGGACCAGTGTTAGCGGCGAGCGGGCCGTGCGTGGCGTGCGCGGCGAGCTAAACTGGAAGCGCTGAACCTGCGAGGTGTGTGCTGGCGGGTTGAGCGGAGAGAGTCTTGGCGGCCATGGCTCCCAATGTCCCCGCGTCCGAAGCGGCCCCAGAGTGTCCTAAAGGCATCCGGGCCGTGCTGCTGGGGCCGCCCGGGGCCGGCAAGGGTACCCAGGTGAGCTACAGGGACGGGCTTGGCGGCGGAGCTTGTGGAACTCCAAGGTCAGGACGGCCGGAGGTCCGGATCGCCCTGGAGCGCGACCGTGGGCTTAGGCCTGGGGAGGGTGTGGGGGCTCCTGGCCGGCGTCTGGGGTTCTGCTAAGGCGTTTGGGAGAGGGTCCAGTTGGAGATCGGGGGAAGTCTGGGTTAGGATTAGCGTTCTGGAGGGATCTAGACTTGAGGTGTCATGTTGGGAAAATCAAAGGACTGGTCCCTTAAGGGATTAAAAGCAGAGAGGGTTTGTGTGGTAGGGTGAGCTTTCGGTTGAGGCATCTAGATTACAGCCTGAGTGGAGTCAGGGACCCCAGATTCCCTGCGATATGGGAGTGGATTGTCCAGGGTTATGTTCCAGGCATTCGGGGTAGGGGGACCTTGCTTGTTAGGATTAATGACTGAAGGTGGAGGAGCATCTCCGGCACGTGGAGCAGGGGGGCAGCTGGTATGTGCTGATTAGGAGTTCTAAGAGAAATGAGGTATGACCTGCGTGAGCCAGTTAGGTTGGTGAAATGGGAGAGGGTACCTCAACATACAGATAAGAAAACAGGCCTAGAGAGGTCAGGTTGCTTTCCCAAGGTAGGAAAATTGACTTCATGCAGTCTGGAACCTCAGGAACCATAGGACTCCAGGAGTTTGGAGTCTAAAGTTACCTTCTACCTTAGCGGACTGTGGGGCCTCACTTGGTGTCGGGGCTGTAATGGACCCATAGATCAGAGTTGGGATTTATGATCTCATTTTAAGATTTGGAAGCCCATAGGTTGGATTATCAATGTCCCCTTCCTGTATAAGGTCTGGCATTGCTCCCCAGGCCACAGGTTCTTGTTGGTGGTTAGGTTCTTAAGAGGGAATTCCTGAAAGTCTGAGCGCCTAAGTGAATGGTGTTCTGGGGACAGCTGTGTGCCCACTTTTCCTAGCATTTGAAAAGATCTTGTCTTACTTATTCTTGGGCCCCCTCTGGTACCCAGCACATCACTTGGCACTTGATGGGGTCGGAAATAGATGAAGGACACAGATTAATGTGGGTGATGACAAGGGAAGTCTGGGAGATTCAGCTTATTCCTGTGATAATTGCTTTTTGGCTTTGGGCACTAGGTCAAGGACGACCACTTTCCCTTCTCTGTAGCTGGAGCAGATTCATCCTCGGAACTCACTGTTACCTAATCCCCTTGACCTCAGTAACTTTGAAGTCTTTTTCCTGTTGCTACCACCCTCCGTTATTAGGGAAACTGCAGCCTAGGAATGTTTAATCCCAGACTCTACAAACATTTACTGTGAGTGAGTATATAAACAGGGTAGCTCAAATGCATCAATTATTTTTTCTTAGTTCATACGGAAGTTAATAATTTCATTAGTTGCATAATGAACAACCCATCCCAGTGCTGAGACAAGGGTTTTATAGTCTAGCAAGTTTGTGACTTCTAAGCCTTAAGTGTCTTCACCTGAAAAATAGTGATAATACCTACCTTACTTACTCAGCATTTCATGAGTACCTAACATTGGAGCTAGAGCAGTGAACAAGACTGATAAGGTCCTTACTCATGTAGACCAAAAACTGACCAGGATATTGGAAGAGTGTGTTATATATATGTGTAAAGCACCCCTAAGGACCTAAATGACAACCTGGCACATCATAGGCGTTCAATAATTATTGACTCCCTCATCTTACACATTCCTCTCCCCCCAACGTGGATGTATTTCATTGTAAAGGGTGATGTATTCAGGAAGTTTTGAAGGAAATTATACTTATGAGCTGATTTATAAGGGTGTGCATACAGCAGGCATTGGTCAAAGAAGACTTTCTGGAAGTGGAGGGGATGTAATTGGGACTTGAGGAAACACAAGTCTTTTAACCTCCATACACCTTTCTTTTCATAAGTGGGATAATAGGAATACTAATGGTTGTAGTTTTATGGAGTTTTAAAAAAAAAACAGCAGTGTTCATAAATCAGAGGTTGCAAAGTGGCAGCCTCCAGAAGCATTTCGTCTACAGACAATTCCTTTTTTTTTTTTTTTTTTTTAAGTAGGCTCTACCCTTCCCCCCGCCCCCGACAATGTGGGGCTTGAACTCAACAACCTCAAGATCTAGAGTCTCATGCTCCACTAACTGAGCCAGCCAGGTGCCACTGCCTAACTTTATATATATATATGTATATATATATGTATAATATATGATTTTATTTATTTTGAGAGAGAGGAAGCAAGTGAGTACAAGATGGGGGGGGTGCCAAGGACAGAGGGAGAACACAAGGCTCGATACCATGACCCTGGGATCATGAGCCAAAGGCAGATGAGCCAAAGGCAGATGCTTAACCGACTGAGCCACCCAGGCACCCCCTAACTTTTTTTTTTATGAAGAATTTGTGGGGGGGGGTTAATTTTTTAATTTTTTTTTTGAGAGTGAGCACATGAGAGATGGGGGGCGTGGGGGGTAGGGCAGAGGGAGAGGGAGAGAGAGAAACTTTTTTTTTTTTTTTTAAGATTTTATTTATTTATTTGACAGAGAGAGACACAGCGAGAGAGGGAACACAAGCAGGGGGAGTGGGAGAGGGAGAAGCAGGCTTCCTGCGGAGCAGGGAGCCCGATGCCTGCCGGGCTCGATCCCAGGACCGTGGGATCATGACCTGAGCCAAAGGCAGACGCTTAACGACTGAGCCACCCAGGCGCCCCCCACAGTCTTTTTTTAAATTTATTTTTAGAGATGGTAGGGAGGGAGAGAGAGAAAAAGAATCCCAAGCAGGCTCCATGCCCAGTGCAGAGCCCAACATGAGGCTTGATCTCACCACCCTGAGATCATGACCTGAGCCGAAATCAAGAGTCAGACACTTAACTGACTGAGCCATCCAGGTGCCCCGAGTTTGAATACAAAAGAGGACTGGTCCCCATGTACCCATTACCCAGCCCCAACGACCATCAGCTGGTGGCCACTGCTTCCCCACCCACTCTCCCTTCACAAATTATTTTATTTTATTTTATTTTATTTTTTTAAGTTTTTATTTATTTATTTGAGAGAGAGAGAGAATGAGAGATAGAGAGCACGAGAGGGAAGAGGGTCAGAGGGAGAAGCAGACTCCCCCCTGAGCAGGGAGCCTGATGCGGGACTCGATCCCGGATCTCCAGGATCATGACCTGAGCCGAAGGCAGTCGCTTAACCAACTGAGCCACCCAGGCGCCCTCCCTTCACAAATTATTTTAAAGCAGCTCCCAGATAGCATGACCAAGGTGTATTTCCTGTTTTCTCTGCCAGCCCTGTTCACAGTTTTTTCCATGCGTCCAACTTATACCAGTTCTTCATCTTGTAGGTCACCTCCATCAGCTCTGTCAGTGCAGTGATACACCTCTGTGAGACCCATACACTTATTCCCCTTTTTACAGTTAGAGAAACTAAAGTTCAAAGGGTCTGTTCTCTAGTTTACATAGCAAGTAATTGGCTCCTCCATCTGAATGGCTCCAAAGCCCCTGCTCTTTCTGTTGCTATCTCCTACCCTGGGTTAGATTTTTCTCCTACCCTATAGTTTTGGTGTTAGGGATGCAGAGAGCAGCCCTTGCCCTCAAGAGGATACAATACAACAAAATAGAACAAAATAGTCACCCTTTGCTCGCTTATGTGACAGGCCCCTAGTCAGAGATTTCACATGTGTCATCTGATTTAACCCTACAACCCTAGAAGGTAGGTCCTATTGTTATCCATGCCTTTTTTACTGATAAACTGAGGCCCAAAAGCTGGTCTTGCCCCAGGATATACATAAAGAAGTAGCAAAGGTCTCGGATTTGAACTCATGACTGATTCCTGAGCAGTGTCGCCATCTTACACTGTTGATATTAGTCTGGATGTAGAGGCAGAAATGAATATGCATGCACACAGTGCCTACCGGTGCAAAGTACCATGTGCAAAGTGTCAGATGAGTGACTCTGACAAATGCTAGGGTAGTTCAGGGTTAGAACAAGAACTATAATTTGTCAAGAGTGTTCCATTCTTCCTCCTACTCAGCCAGTTATGTCGGTAATATTATCCCCAATTTATAGATGAGAAAATAGTCTCAAAGAATCACTGGCCTAAGGTTACATGGTAAGTTAAGAGGCAAAGCTGATATTCAAACACAGATTTCTGTGCTTTTTTTTTTTAATTTTTTATTGTTATGTTAATCACCATACATTACATCATTAGTTCTTGATGTAGTGTTCCATGATTCATTGTTTGTGTATAACACCCAGTGCTCCACGCAGAACGTGCCCTCTTTAATACCCATCACCAGGCTAACCCATCCTCCCTCCCACCTCCCCTCTAGAACCCTCAGTTTGTTTTTCAGAGTCCATCATCTCTCATGGTTCAGTGCTTTTTAAAAAGCTTTTTATTGAGGTATAAGATATATGGAGAAAGGTACAAATATCATAAGTGAGCAGCTTGATGAATTTTCATAATGTCAGTTTTCACAATTACACTTGTGTAGCTTACATCCATATCAAGAAACAGAATGTTGCCAGCATGGTGAAGTTTTCCTTGTGCTCCCTTCCAGGCGCGCGTGTGCGCGCGCGCGCACACACACACACACACACACACACACACACACCCTTCCTCCAGGGACAGCCACTCAGGCTCTGTGGTCAATATTGTTGTGTTTTTAATAAGGTCCTATAATATGGATAAGAGATAGGGCTTGCCAGCTCTGCTGTTACTAGCTATGTGATCTTGGGCAATTTAGCCTCTGAATTTCATTTATAAAATACAGATTAAAAATAGTTCCTACCTCATGGGTTTGTTGTATATCATGCATACTAAATACAGTAAAACAGTGCATGGGAAATTGCTTGGCATGTTGCAGACACTCAAAAGTTAGCTGATGTTGATGAGTCCTTATCAGAGGAAGAAGGAGTTGGGAATATTTGGGGAGAGATATGCTCAGAATTTGCCTACAGGGAAGGGTAGAAGGGAGAGAAGCCAAGGTCCTCAGAGAGACTTATGTTATATATTTGGGAATCATACATAGAGCTGCTGTTTGCAGTGGTGCAAGGCATATAGATGGGGGGGATCTGTGGGGGTAAATTTGAAGAGCTTGGAGGTGTAGGAAGTTATTATGGAGGATATTGAATGCTAGACTAAGATATTTGGACTTCTCCCCTATTGCACTAAGGAGACATGGAAGGCTTCTGAGTGTGTGTGTGTGTGTGTTGGGGGGGGGCGGAGCCCACGCCCGACAGTATTAGGAGATGATTCCAGCTACATATTCAGGAGTATGGGACGTGGGAGTGGGAAAGACTGGAGGCAGAGAAATAATTTCAAGGTGAGAAAACACGTGAGTTTGAGATTAAATCAGACCTCAACGACTAATAGTTTCCCTTTATTTCCCTAAATGCCAGGCACTATGCTGAATGCTTTTGCATACATAATTTTATTAAATCCCCATAACAACTCTGAAAGTAGACGTTATTATCTGTACTCCGGGGATGAAGACACTGAGGCCTTAAGAAGGCTGCATAACTCGTTCACGGGGGGCACAATGAGTAAATTGTGGGGCCCAGTTTCCAACCCATATCTGTACCGCCAAGAACCCAGTCTTGTGCCACTGCCCCAGGGCTTCACGAACTGTGTATCAGAATCCCAGCGTGCCGTCTGAGAACCGCTCAGGCATAAACTTTAAGGGCGGGCCTGGCTTTGTATTTTTAGCATGTGCCCCAGGTGATGGTGATAATATCCTGAAGACCAAGAACATTAAACCCTCTATGCTGCCTCTCTGGTGGTTTTAGCCATTCTTACCTGTGCCCCCCAAAAGCCCACCCCTTCCCCCACAGGGTTCTCACAGAGATGATGAGCCTATTTCTCGGTCCGTGGTCGGTGAGACACAGTGGCTCAGGGCCTCAGCAGCCAGGAGTGGTCCAGGGGCCAACAGCACAGCCAGGCCTGCAAGCTTGTTAAAAACGCAGGTGCTCAGGCCCCACCCTGTGGAATCAGATTCTGCATTTTAGCAGTGCCCCCAGGTGATTTGGAGTAGAAGCAGTGCTCTAAAGCATAAGCTAGAAGTGTGAGGGGAATATAATAAAGTTATTTCATCAGGCTGCTTCTATAGTTTGCAAGTAAAGAGTAATGCAAAAAAGAAAGACCATGGAAGGAGGTCTTTTATTAAATGCCTACTGTGTATCTTAATGTTTTGGGTACTTACTTCCTTTTATCCTCACAACAGCCCAATGAAGTAGACATCCCCATTTGACTGGTGAGGAAACAGATGCTGAGAAGTTAAGTAACTGGCCCAAGGTCACAGCTGTTGAGTGGCTTAGCCAGGATTCCTGTGTAAATCTGACTCCAAAGTCACCACATTGACTCCCGTGCAGCCGGCAGAACATGAAGGAATTATTCTTCTGCCTTGCCATGTCTCCCCTAGTGGAACGTTCTTCCACACAGCTGTAGAATCCCATCATCCAGAACAGCACCTAAGAATCCTGCAGTTTGGGGGTGATGAAAATAGAACAGGTTCTGTGGTAAGAGCTCATCTATGGTGTTCGGGTCAGCCTTCCGCCTTGAACAAGCCTGATCTCCAAAATGTTCACTCAAGTTAACTTCAAAACCAAGGAGAAGGATTGGCAGAAGAGCTCAGTTCTCTGGGTATGTGGCCACCACGCCAGCCTGGAGGACCACCACTGCCAGGGGGTCCTGATCTTCATTGGTTTTCCAAAGTTTTCCAAAGTGGAGTTTTTAACACCTTCTTTATCTGGATTCCATTTTGCTATGAAGCCATGTCTTTGCTTGAACTGAACCAGTCCATGAATCACAAACTAGAATTTGCTACACTGAGCCCCATCTATTTCCCTTTTCTGTGTGCAACTAAGAAAACTCCCAGTGCACGGGTTTGAATGAGAATCCAACCCTACTGGGGCACCTGGGTGGCTCAGTTGGTTAAGCATCTGCCTTCGGCTCAGGTCATGATCCCGGGGTCCTGGGATCTAGCCCCACATAGGGCTTTCTGCTCAGCGGGGAGCCTGCTACTCCTTCTCCCTCTGTCTACTGCTCTGCCTACTTGTGCTCTCTCTCTCTCTTTGTGTCAAATAAATAAAATCTTAAAAAAAAAAAAAAAGAATCCAACCCTACTTATTTTATAAAACAATTGAACCAGAATGCTAAGTATTAAGCTTCTTGAACTGATTCTGTTCCTTGTGAATTCTGCAGAGGGCGGTGCCACCCCCGTTAGACCGTCCAGAGTTTCTTCCTGTTCTAGTCTTTATTCTGCTGTGTTGTCCACCAGACTAGGAGCCTGTAGAGGCCAGGGTCCATGTCTTTTGTTTTCCTGGCTCCCAGCAGGGTTCTTGGAAGAGGCATCTGTGTTTTCTTTCTGTATGAATGAACATGGAATTAGGTCAGGGGTTACAGTACCACCTAATGTTAATTGAGTATTTACTCTGTGCCGGTCCCTATGTACATATGTTGAACTCCATTTGATCCCAGCAACCCAGTGATGGAGGTCCTGCTACTGTTTCCATTTGACTTAGAGGAAATTTGAAAGGTAGTAAGGTGATATAATTTTTATCAAGTCACACATCTAGTGATTGGTGTCTGAACCCCAAGAATTTTGACTCTGAAGCCCATGCTCTTAACCAAAGGCTATTCTGCCTCCTGAAACTACTATGTAAGTATATACTGTTAGCCAAATGCTCTTTTTATGTATCCTAATATTTATGACCAGTTCCTGTGTGCTAGGCACAGTTTTCAGTGTTTTACAGGTATTTTGTCTTAGAAATCTTACTGTAACCCTGTAATCGTTCTATGGTAGAATGTAACATCAGGTTATCTTTTTATCTTTTATCTTTTATCTCTATTATAGGTAAGGAAATCAGCATTTGCCAAAGTTCATAGAGCCAGTGAGTGAGAGGGCCAGGTTCACACCCGGGCAGCCTGATGCCAGGGCCTTCAGTGTTAACTCTATCTTGGTTTTCATCTTCCCCCCCGCCACAGGCACCCAAATTGGCCGAAAACTTCTGTGTCTGCCATTTGGCTACTGGGGACATGCTGAGGGCCATGGTGGCGTCTGGCTCAGAACTGGGAAAAAAGCTGAAGGCCACTATGGATGCTGGAAAACTGGTAGGTTTGGTGGTACCCGTGAATGTGGATATTCCTGAGTCTCCTCTGTATTGCCTCATTTGGTGGCCACCAGCCACGTGGAACCATGAAAATTAATTTAGATTCAATTGAATTGAAAATTCAGCTGCTCAGTCTCACTTGCCGCATTTCAAGGGTTTGTTAGCCAGCACAGACTTAGAACATTTCCATTGTAGAAAGTTCTTTTGGACAGCCTTATGCTACGGGGTGTTCTAACAAACACAAACTACATGAACTTCTAGAGTAACAGGTTACATGGTACATTCTGAATGTGTGGCATTTATTTTATTCACAGTATTCTTTTTTATATGTATATTTTTAATTTTATTTTTAAGTAGACTCTACACCCAATGTGGGGCTTGAACTCACAACCCTGAGATTAAGAGTTGCGTGCTCTACTGACTAAGCCAGCCAGGTGCCCCTATTTACAGTATTCTTGAGGTCCCTTTGTGCTGATGCCTTTTGTAATATGCCCTGGTTTTAGAGCCAAAAATGAAACTGCCATCCCTAGGCCAGAACTCAAGGATGTATCTGAGAGAGGATGGAAACCAGAGTGTTTTAACTCTATTTTTGTGGCTCTCTGTTCTTGTCTTTAACAGTGGATTGCTTGGCGATTGACGAAAGTAATTCCTCCTATTTGGGGGATATAATAGCATTTTCTTACGTTTTTAGTCCAGTTGATCCAATGGGGCGATTATTATAATCTATTATCTACTAAATCTTCTTTGATTAGTGCCAGAGCTTAGTTGTAACTGAGTTATTCTGGGACTTGGCCTCTGGGAATCACCTTCAGGCATTTTAATAAACTAGAACACCAAGAAAACATTTAAACTACAGAAACAATGGTTATAGTATAGAATATTCGTGAGCAAGAAGATACACCGTGTTATAAGTACTTACAAAGTTACAAATCATTTGCTTCCTTAACATTTCCCCTGGTTTCTTTTAAGATTTGATTTTTTTTTATTTGACAGAGAGAGAGAGCAAGAGAGGGGGAAACAGACTTCCTGCTGGGCAGGGAGCCTTATGTGGGACTTGATCCCAGGACCCTGGGATCGTGACCTGGAGCCAAAGGCAGACACTTAACTGACTGAGCCACCCAGGCACCCAACATTTCCCTCTTTTAAGTTCAAACATGAAGATGATCAGATTTACCATTTTGGGGGAATGGGAGGAGAAAAAGGTATATTTATCATCTGGGAATCACCTTCAGAAGTCATTTTGTGCTTGGCCCTCTGATCTTCTCATATCTTAGAATGTTGGTTGGGGAAGGCCTTGGGCTTTGCCTTTATCCCCGAATTACCTCCTGGTAGGCTTTGAGATTGCGTAGCTGTATCCGGGGTACCCCTTCCCGCCCACCTGCCCCTTTACTCTAGCTTTCCCTTCGTGTTTGTGAGACCTTGAGCTAAGCCAGAAAGCTAGATATTTTGAACTTTGGGTCTTGGCAGAAGATCTTGTACTGAGAAAAAATTGGGATATGGCCATGAGATTGCTTATCTCCAGCCTTCACTTCGTCACAGAGCTTGTACTTTGTCCCCAAGTTCACAGCCAGTCCCAGGAGATAAGAGCGTTAGCAGCCTTCACTGTCATACTGGTAGGGAACTTCTCTTTCTATGAAAGCTCAGGAGGAAAACCGGTTTTCGGAAGCTGAGAAGGGCCCTCATTGGGGCTTTTAGAGAGACTAAGAGGTGTGTTGGCCTGGCACCTCACTTCCTTGGTTCTGACCCAATCTTGCCAATTCAGTGACCTTCTCTGTTACCTCATGTCCAGGATGGCCTGGACCACTTTACTGTTAGCCTAATCAGAATTGTGAAACAGGGAAAGTTGGTACCTTTCTGCATTTTGGTTGAGCCCCATTCTCCCATGGAGCCCTCCTCAATGATCTCTCAGCCAGAAACCCTTACCTTTCTTGTGCCTTGAAGACAGCTGCTTGCTGATGAGCTATTATCTGATGGAAAGGATCCTGACTAATGGCTAGAGAGGGCCTCAGGACCTAAGACATGGAAGCCTCCTATCCAGGTGACAGGCAGTGGGATCCTCTTCCCTCACCCAGATTGTTGGGACACAAAAGAATCTCAAGTGAAGAGAACACATGTGGCAACCACAAAAATCATGAAACTGAATTTTCTTTGGAATGTGGAGCCACTCCACATTTGCTCTAATTTTTGCTTCTTTGGGGTCAAGAAAACATGCTGTTTAGTAATCAGGTTATACAGACACAAACTTGTGGACCTGGAGTTGGGCTCATGTCACCTAATTAACAGACTTAAGCCCAAGGCTGTCTTGTTCTTAACTTCCAGGTGAGCGATGAAATGGTAGTGGAGCTCATTGAGAAGAATTTGGAGACCCCTCGATGCAAGAATGGTTTTCTTCTAGATGGCTTCCCTAGGACCGTGAGGCAGGCAGAAATGGTGGGTGCCTTGAATTTGTGTCACTGATGCATGAAAATGAACTTTTGGCCCATTATCTCTTAATCACTTTGAGGGAGATGGCTCTCATCAAGCTCTGGTAGTTTAGGTGGGCCATTTACTCTCTTGCAGCTCGATGACCTCATGGAGAAGAGGAAAGAGAAGCTTGACTCTGTGATTGAATTCAGCATCCCGGACTCTCTGCTGATCCGAAGAATCACAGGAAGGTACTTGTCCTCTGAAGATCCCTCCTGGGCCTGCCTCCTCTGAGCTTTATCAGACCAGCAGAGCTGCTCTTGCCCAATCCCAGCCAGGCAGCATAGTGCCATTTTAACATGGGTTGGTCTTGTTTGGTGACATCCACTGAAATGGTGACATGGGATCGGGGTATGTGGAAAGAAGAGCAAGGGATTTGAAGTCAGCATCTCAGGCCTGTCACCTTTCAACCCCGACCCTAGGCAAGTTTCTTAACCTCTCCAAGGCTGGTTCCTCCTCTGTAGAGTGAGGTTAAATAAGACCTGCTTCGAGGAACCGTTGCGCATTTTAGGTACCATGACGTGCATTGTTCAGGGCCTTGCTTACGGTAGGTGCTTCAGAAAGATTCCATTCCTTACATGGTTGTCTCCAGTGCCCTGAAATCTGGTTTAGGTTGGGAGTTGCCATACCTTGCTGTAGGTTTTGTAGTGTGAAAATAATATGACCACTGACGCAAAGTTTAGAAAATGGAGGAAAATTTTGCTCATGGTACAGCCACCTCAGCCAAACCCACTATTGCTTTGCTGCATGTTTCATTTTCAAATACTTATTTTGGGGCGCCTGGGTGGCTCCGTCCATTAAGCATCCGTCTCTTGGTTTTGGCTCAGGTCGTGATCTCAAAAGAGTTGTGAGATCCGGCTCCACGCTCAGCATGGAGTCTACTTTGGATTCTCTCTCCCTCTTCCCCTGCCCACCCCCTCACTCTTTTTTTCTCTTGCTCTCTCTCGCTCTCTCTCTAAAATAAATAAATAAATCTTTAAAAATAAATAAATAAATAAAGTGCTTGTTTCTTGGAGCACCAGCCTGACTCAGTCAGTGAAGCATTCAATTCTTGATCTCAGGGCTGTAGGTTGGAGCCCCATGTTGGGTGTAGAGTTTACTTAAAACAGTAAATAAATAAAATCTTTAAAGTACTTGTTTCTCTGTAGTAGTCACCATTGAACAGACATGCTTCTGTTTCTGAACTAGTTTGCTCTCAAAGGTCCACTGTTTTAGGCTATAATTTCCTCTACCCTGTATCACTGTCCACTCTGCCATCTGCTTTGTGCCTTCCAGAAATATGTGGGAAGCTCTCAGCCACTAATAGACCCTCCTCCCATTCTCTTCTTTGTCGTGGGCTTTGGTTTTTATATCCCTTAGTCATTTTAATGGAATCTCAGGAAGGTGGTCAGCCTACCGTCTTGAACCAGACATCCATGACCATTATTTTTAATTGCTGCTTGGTATTTCACAGTAGACGAGCCATCATTTACTTACTTGTCCCCTTATTGTGGTACGGTTGTGTTTTTTTATAGTTGTCTGCTGTTAATTTGATGCTGTGACCATGATAGTACATGTAAACTTTTGGATTTAGTTAGAAAATGTTTTCTTGTCGTAAATTTTATTAAGTTGATTTCCTCATGAGGTTGCACATTTCTTCCATGTGTCTGCAGTCCGTATCTTCATGGGGGGAGGTAGACATGTAAACAGGCAGCGGGGTGAGTGTTACAGGTGTTTTCCTGAGAGGCTACATTAGATACAGTGGGTCCACCTTACATTAATTTTTTGTTCAAATGTGCAGGTTTCATGTTTCTAGCTATTCCATAGGCACCTTCAATACAGGAACTTCTGTATTTTTGCGTTGCCACTGGCAGAGCAGACAAAGTGGAGGCAGGCCAAGAAGTGGTAAGGTTGACAGGGAAGCACATCACCAGGGCTGGGGTCCCTGACGTACAAAGCAGATGTTATAGCAGTACTAGTTGACCCTGGGGGCCTTTGCGTCGATCGGCCCGTGTTCCTGCATGGCCATTCTGTGTGCAGCACCGTACTGGACTCAGGTAGGGGACCAGGAGAGGGTAGAGAAGAACAATATGCCCATCTCTGACCTCAGAGAGTCTACAAGCCATACAAGAAACCTGGGCTTGTTTGCGCAGTGGGTAGTCCTCAGGAGCGAGCCTGGGAGCAGGAAGGGAAGGCTGCCTAGGAGAGGAGCAGTGTCAAACATGGCCTTCCTGGATGGAGAGGATTCCAGTGGGGCTCTCCGGGAAGAGAGTAGAGGCGGGAATGAGTATGGGTTAGGAGAGGGCCTCTAGCTGGAGCTGGTGGCAGAATGTCTGTCCACAGTTGGAGGCAGGATCTGGGGGGCTGGGTGGCAGAACAAGTGCTGTTGGGAAGTCGGATGGGCACTTGACTGGGGAAGGTTCGCCAAGGTGAAGAGCATAGGCGTATCAGTCATGGGATGTTCTTAAGCCATGAAGTGTTATGGCAAGAACAGCATGCTAAGAACATTAGTTTGGCCCTGGCATACAGGCTAAACTGGGGGAAAGGAGAAACAGACAAGAGCCCACCTAGGAGGCTGATTCTGATCCCCGTGTGGAGTTGTGGAGGCTTTTAACTGGGGTTGGCTGGTGGGGAACAGAGAGGTTCTGAAGAGCAAACTACAGGATTGTTGTAGAGGATGAAGAAGACTCGGTGTCAAGGTTTGGGAGTGAGTGGTGTGGTGTGACCCTCTCCCTCACAGAGGAAGAAACAGGACATGCCAGGCTGGTCAAGTTGTTTTCAAGTTCCCTCTATGGGTCGGCGGCAGAACTAGCACTGAAAGCCCGCTTTCTGCCTTCTAGTCCACTACAATGATGGTCGGAAGACAGAGAGGCAGGAACTAGTTGGATCTTATTTAAATCTGACATGATTAAACCCTACTGTAAATATCTTTGATTAGCTCTGACCTCACTTCTGACAATATTATGAGTCATACTTTATGTTTTGAATACCTATGGTTGGCGGTTGTTGGTTTTAACTTTTTCAGTGTTGGCTACTAATTATCCTACCAGTTGGCTGTCCTGATGTCTCAAGTCATCCCCACTTTGCAGCTGAGAAAACAGGCATCTGAAGTGTGATACTTAAGACAGCAGTGGCTCTAGAACCCCAGCCTTGATCCCTCACATCACGCCCTCCATCGCTAGGTCCGGCTCGGTGGCCCTTAGAGCTACTGTGGTTGGTGCTGAGGCCAATTCCACTTTGAAAACTTGGATCTTGGACTTACTTTCATTTCCCTTCTAGGGAATGAGCCTTTAAATGAAGTCTGAGTGGGGAAGGAGCAGTGTGCTGTATGTAACTGGAGGGCTGAGGGAATCGGAGTAAGCGAGAGATGTAGGGATGTGGCAAGGAAAGAGTTGTGTCTGCCGCAGCCTGGTTGCCGTGTGCCTTGTGCTCTCCAGAAGGTGAAGACTCACGGTCCACGTCTCATGCTTGCAGCCCTTCACAGAGGGAAAGCTGTAGCTGAGCCCAGCAGGCTCTCCCTGGGTCTCCCAATGGAGGCACCAGAGGAACCTCGCCTCTGTGACCTCCTGTCACCTAACAGGCACAGACCGCCCAGTGTAGCTTATTTTACTCAGCCATCACCTCTCCCCCACCAATGCTATAAATGGACCACTTGGCCCCCCAAAAGTGTGCTGTCCAGAGAGAGCAGGGGAGGGGAAGAGGGAGAGAGAATCTCAAGCAAACTCTGCACTGAGTTTGGAGACTGATGCGGGGCTCAGTCTTAACAACCCTGAGATCATGACCTGAGCCGGATGCTGAACCGACTGAGCCAGAACCACCCAGGCGCCCCTGCCCAGGCTTTGATAGTCTGACCCGGACTTTCCCAACTGATGTGCTGAGATATCGATCAGCCATCAGAGCAGCTGGGTAGGCCTGGGTTATTCCAGAGGGGAAGCACACAAGTACTGCATAAATATCTCTGCGTGTGCCAAGAGGTGAAAAATGTTGGGAAGCTCTGGTGTAACAGACCTTCATGAGGAAAGCAGACATCCGTTCAGTAAGAAAGCCTGGGTTGGCACAAACTTAGGAAACTAGACAGGCCCTGGCTGCTAGCAGGGTTTGGCCTGCCTTCTTCCCTCCTTAGGTTTCTGGGCTCCCATGGTGTGGCCGCTCCCAGTCAGGAACTCAGGTTTGCAGCCCAAGGGGGCACAGCACAGATGGGGGGCCCAGCTACATTTTCAGTGCCAGCTAAATGCTTTATTCTTGGGCACTTCATGACTTGTTGAGTAGATGATTTCTCCTGGAGCCAGTGTTCATATTGCTTGGCCCTCCGATGCTTGGGCCGCCTTTTATTTACGTGACTGCAGAGGGGTGTTGCCCTGTCTGGTGGTGTTTGCATCTGCAATACATATTTTTCCATCACACCTTTCTGGGTTTTGTAACCAAACTGGGATAGAAAATAGGGTTAGCTTCTTTGTCTTCTGGCCCCCGTAGCACGTTGCACAAATCTCTATTAAAGGATGAGTCACAGTTATTTTAGGTTTTTTCCACATTTGTCCCTCCTACTAGAGTAAGCACTGCTTGTGATCAGGGATCTTGACTCGTTGCGGTGTGGCCCCTGGATTCAGCATAAGGCCTGAATCGGACTAAGCACTTAGTAAACATTTATTGGGCGAGTGGGTGAATAGATTGAATGGCTGTGTGAGACCAGCACCTGGTTCCTGAATTAGGTACTTACACCAGCCTTGGCAGCCAGATACTCATCACGTTGGGGCAAAATAGAAATCATACTCCCTCTGGCATAAGCTCTCCTGGAAGCCCAGTTACCTTCCCAAGCAAGGAACGCCCATGGCTGGGTTCTGTGCCTGGTGAAGTCCTCACATCCAGCTCCTCTGTCATTGCTTGTCAACTTGGAAACCCCTGGGGTTCAGGGATACTTTCAGGCAACCTGACTCGTGTTCGTTTGCTGTCTTTCAGGCTGATTCACCCTCTGAGTGGCCGTTCCTACCATGAGGAGTTCAACCCCCCAAAGGAACACATGAAAGATGACGTATGTAAACCCAGGACAGGAAATTTCCTTTTCCTTCCTTCCCCTTTATTCCTTTCTGTTCTTTGTTCTTTCCATCTTCCCTTTATTCCTACCAATATTATTAACCATGAGAAATAACACCGACCAATAAATCACGTGGGCTGTGGCTCTTCTGGCTACAGAGTGGCTCCCCCAGTGGTTTACTGTTTGACTTTGAGGTGGCTACCAGCACCGGCTACTTCATAGTGCCCGGTTTATACCTGTCTTTGGTCCAGAGCAGTCCCGTTCTGGTATCACGGTGACCCAAATGGTTGACTAATCTCAGGAGAAGGCTTCTTGGAAGCCCAGAAGCAGAGCCAAGCTAGGAGAACAGGACTGAAGAGAAATGTGTTGACTGGTCCTACTTCGGAAGAATGTCCCCTCTCTCTGGTGACTCTGCTGTGTCCTACAGATTCGGACGATTTGGGCTAGATTAACATTGCCAGGTGCTCACGACAGTCTTGCAGATGTAACAGGGAGGGTCTCGTAGATGTTCACAGTAACATTTGCTGTAACTAGTCCATTTCGTCTGTTTTAGAACATGCAGGCGATAGTAAGAATCTCGTGGGTTTGCCTTTGTCGCTTGAGAAAAGTTCATCAGGTCCTACAGGTTTCCAAGCCTTCATGTCATCTTAGTCACATTTCCCACGGTTGGGAATTCTGCCTCAAGAGTTCTTTCTCACTCCTCTGGCCACTTTCAGAATGCTGAAGGCCACCACCCTAGTGAAAACACCAAAGACTTCGGTGACTAAGGTTACAATGGCGAATGCATCTCTGATTCTGATGTATTCTCCTGGTCTCGGGGGCCTCTATCTTTCTTGCTTCTGACCCTAGAAGTGTTCACCTTGGAAGCCAAGCAACCTGAGCAGAAGCTGTGAGAGAGGGGCCTTGCCCGTCTTCCTCCCACAAACCCCCTTCCTCACGCTTTGCTGCCTCAGGCTCCCCGGCTCCTCTGGACTGGTTGGTCTGCTCCTGGGACCAACTTCCCGGGAGTAGCAAAGCTCTTTAGAGCCCTTTAGTGGAGGGGATCTAGATTGTCTGCCTTTCCCTCCGATGGCCTTTGGGAGCAGATAGCATCGCAGATCTGGAAACCTTGCTAACAGTCCCAGACTTTCACTGCCCCCTTCCTGTTCTCAGATCACTGGGGAACCCTTGGTCCGCCGATCAGATGATAATGAGAAGGCCTTGAAAATCCGCCTGGAGGCCTACCACACTCAGACCACCCCGCTGGTGGAGTACTACAGGAAACGAGGGATCCATTCTGTCATCGACGCCACCCAGACCCCTGACGTTGTGTATGCCAGCATCCTAGCGGCCTTCTCCAAAGCCACATGTAAAGACTTGGTTATGTTTATCTAACGTTGGGTCCAAAAAGGAATTTCTTTGTTCCTATCCCTGTTGAGGGACTGGGTGGGAATTGCAGAGCAGGCAGAGGGAAGCTTCCTCAGGCCAGCAAGAATACCATTTGTTGTACCAATTAAAAAAGCACTTGCTTGATGTATCTTTAGCGTGTGGGCAACTCTCATCTCATCTGTGTGTGTGTGTGTGTGTGTGTGTGTGTCATTGGTCTAAGTACATGTATACTCTTCCTTCTTTCTAAGGTACAGGCAAGGTTGCTTTACCAGCTGTTTACTTCTTTAGCCATACCCTTGATTTTTATTTATTTTTACCAAGATAACCTAACTCAGGTATCCGCCAGGCACCGCAGTTCTAGAACCTCATGGTATCTAGTCCATCTCCAGCAGCTGAGTAGAAGTCCAGTATCACATAAAGTCAAGCAGGGCCAAAGTTCACGGTGGCAGATGTTGGCAGGGAATCCCACTTGTTTTCTACCCCACTATGAAAAGCCACATGAGTTCGGTTCATTTTTTCCCTAAGTGGAAAGAAAAGGCATTTATGCTACAGATCTCAGAAATAACTGGGAGAGGGTATCCAGGTGGAAAGATCCAGGCTGAGTTGGAATATTTCTGTGATCTGCATCACAGTGCTATAAAGTAGGGATCATTTGGGACCTGTGTGAAAACTGAATTGTTGCCAAAGAATTGAACCCAAGTAGACGGTCCTTTTGAATTCAGACTGTGTTCTGAACATCCCAGGCTGGGCATCTGAGAGCAGCCAGTCCACTTCCCAAAGAGACCAGGGTAGGTTTGTTTTCATTTTTAATGTTTGCCTCCCTTTGCAAGTATGAACAAAACAGTGATTTGGAGGTGATCTATTCTTGGCCTTGTTTTCATTCGAGTTTACTCAAACCCAGTCTCTCCAGGATATGAAACCCCAATCAGATGTGTCTCTTTTAAACTCAGACTCTGTCCACAGACTCCCCAAGAAAAGATCACCCAAAATAAGATCACCTATGACAGTAAGCAGCTTTTATTCCTAACTTTAGCTCCCCCAACTATTAAGCATTTCCTGAGGTCCATGCTGTGCTGTTTGACTTGTGGCAAACAGATGAATTAATAGACTGTTGGGAGAGGCCACAAAACGGTGGCCTCTGGAAAAAACATTGGAAAACCAGTGGCAGGCCCAGTAAATAAATGCCGCCTGCCCTAGCATAATCTGCTGACTTGGTGCAGAGGGCTCTAGAGTCCCAGTCCCCGTCTGACCTGAGTCTCCTGCTGTCTGTGGAACTGTCAGAGGGCTTGTCCCCTGTCCGCCTGGAAGCTGGGCATGGGTACGTGGCCATCTTGCTTCCCTTTGATCTGGTTCAAGTGAGCGTCTGCTAGTTCTGCTCTGCCTTGCTTCCCTGCCTGTAAACTAACTCCGCCCATTCTGAACAGAAACCTAGTCTGGTGTGGGGCATTTCTGGGAAGCACATGACTTCAAGGAAGAGGACTGAAACCAAAACTATGACCCGTGTCTGCAGGGGTCTGGAGCCCCTCTCTGGGGGAGGGAGGCCTCACAGATCCTGGAGTCCACTCCCCTTTCACAGGGGACAGTTGCAGGCACTTGGCCTCGAGGTGGCGGACGTTGAATGTTTGCTAATTGAACGCGTGTGATCTTTGCCCGTCCATCTACATTCACGTGCGCGTATTTGGGCTGCTGGTGAACCTAGAACGTGCGGGATGCATATGTCCTTTTGGAGGTGGTCAGGATTTAGATTTTTGTTTCGTTTGATTACACAGCCTTAACCTCAGCAGGATTGAGAGCTTTCTCCTGACAGAAATGTCCATTGTCTGATGCATTTGGTTGCTGGGGCATGCATGCCAGCCCTCCTGTTATTTACTTGGTTTTTAAAAACCCGTTTTGTTCTCTCTTGTTTCCTCTCTATTTCAGCCTAGTAACAGAAGGCCAGGCGAGACTGCACCACTCTTCATCACCCCGCGGCGTGATCCCTGCTCTTTAGGTGCTGGGCAAAGGGGAGGGGTGGTCAGGGTGAGGGTGGAGAGGGAGGAATGAGGAGGGCCCAAAAGGAGTAACGAAGAGCAGCAATGTGGTAGTGAGGCCATCTCTTTCACACGTCCTAGAGGAGTCTGAGAAAGTACAGAGGAGGGGTGAAATTAAAAAAAAAAACAAACTGATTAGAGGCTGTAAATAGAAATAGGGAGGGTGCAGTATTGTTTCTGAGGAATCCAGGTTTCATTTACTGTGGATTGGTGACAATATATTTTAAAGCCAAATGCCCTGAGACCTCAGTTTTTATCTCGGAGCCTCATGGGTTGCCAGCCTAAGAATGCAGGAAGTCAAACTGTTGTCTTTCTGAAAGCTTGGAACAGGGCGGGGTTTGACTCCTGGCCCTGGTTCTCCGCACCATGAGACAAAAGATCATCTCCACGTTGTAAAGAGATGGGGGGGGGGAGGGGGCGTGTTCATGGGGGCGGTGGCTCAGCCAATCACGTTTACTGGAGTTGTGGGGAAGGCGGGGCTGGTCTCCCTCCTAAGGACACACTGCTGTTTGCCGTCCACCCATTCTCATGGGTCAGCTCCCAGCAGCCACCCAGCATCCCTGCACTCTTACCATCTTGCGTCCACGATGTGGGAAGGGACCCTTGTTAATAAATGAGCAAGTGTCCTAAGCAACATAATCCAAAGATTGTCCTTTCCATCCTCAAATCCTGTGACTGGGATCACTCGTCAGCACTGTGATGTATTATTTTCAATGAGGTGCCTTTCTTAACTGACCAAATGCTGCCTTGTTTGGCCCCTAAATCAATAAAGTATGTTAAAAATTTGTATCCCCTGTTGTGACATTTTTTTGAGGGGATCTGGGCTAGGGAAGAAAAAAAAAACGGCATTGAATTCTGAATCTGGCTTGGAAGCCCCTTCTTGTCACTAGAAGTCACAAGGCAGGGAGGTCCAAGTGTGTGCTCATAAGAGGCGCCACACCCTCTTGAGCCTCAGTTCAGATGCAGGCAGGACAAGGCAGCTCGGCTTCGTGGAGACCACGCTGCGCTTGGAGCTCAGAGGAAGTGTGAGGAATCCCGGCCAATCACTGCGCTGTGCTTGAAGCACAGAGGAGGTGAGAGGAATCCCAGCCAATCATTTACTCTGCTCCTGTTTCCTTGTCTGAAAAAAGAGGGGTGTGATGCCACCTTCTCAGACTTGTTGGCATTAAATGAAGTTTATAAAAAGCAGCTTTGTGCTTGGCGCCTGGCACACAACAGACACTTGATAAATGTTAGTTAGATCGGAATATATACAAAAATATCTGCTTCATGCCGGGCTGGAGAATTGTTGAGTGGACAGCTGTCCACAGCCTAGAAAGCCAGTGCTTCTCATCCCTAGCCAGATTTTTGGCTGTCTCTTCAGCTGTCTCTTTAACACTCCTGGTTGCTTCTTTATAAATCCATTTTTTGCTCAGCAAAAGAGCCAAGCTGAAGCTCTCAGGCTCTTTGGAAGGGCTGCCTCTGCAGGTTGGTTTCTGAGAAATGACTGCTGTTCCCGAAACCAGAGGAAGCCGGCCTGGGAGCACCGCTGTGCTTCAGGCTTTCTTGTTCTGGAGAGATCCAGAGTGGTCACGGGCATGTTAAATGCCACGTCTTGAGCCAGCGCCTCCCTCTGCTTCCCCACCTCCCCAGCTCCACAGTCATTTCAGGTGCCAACACGACTGACTCACTCTGATCTTTCCGTTCCCTAAGCTGCTTAAATGCCCCATGAAAGCATTCGTCCCTTCCTTGATCATCATGCAACAAACTGGGGGGACAGATTCGTGGACCCCAGCCCAGGAGGCCACTGCGTGGTGTGGTTGAGAAGAATGGCCTGAGAGGAGACCGGGAGACCTCTCGTTCGTGTCTTTCGGCTTGGTGTCCTCATCCGGAAACTGACTGGAACCGCTCCCGTGCCTGCAGCACTGACACCAGGCCAGGTACTGCACACGGGCCTCGTAGCCAAGACCTTCCGGGGCCCTCCTGGGACATCCGGGCGGCCGGAGCTGTCCTCCTGTCTTACAGGTGAGGCGATCAAGGCCTGGAGCGGCAAGGTCACACAGAAGAGGCCAAGTCGGCACGCCGAAAGCAGTCTCTGCCACCCGAGCCTGTCCCCTTGACCTTGTCACTGAAGTGATTTAGCGACTTGGGCAGCTCTCCAGTAAGACGAGCCCCTCCCGGGTGCCTTCTTGTTCGTGGCCGCTCACTGCCAGTCTGAGGACCCAGGGAAAGCGTCCCAGGCTGTCTTGTGGGCACAGAGCATTGCAGACAGAACGAAGGGCAACCTTGGCCCTCAGGAGGCCTCAGCAGTTAGCCTCAGCAGTGTTTCCTGGGAAGACCGCTCAGTGAGTCAGAAGACAGACTCCTGCCACACCTCCTCCACCGTGAGACCCCGGGCGAGGTACCTCCCCGTCAGTAGAACAGAAATGGCCGCTTGCCCCTCAGGTGTGCTGGCAACACCGGTGCCCAGAATCCCGGCACACCACAGACGCCCGGGATGTTGCTGATGGCGTGCAGAGAGGAAACGCAAGCCTTGGCGACAGCCCACAAAAGTTATATGCAGAATTCCGTATTTTTGTATTTTCCTAATTACTGATCGTTTCGCATGACCTTACGCTTACTGGATGATAGGCCCTGCGTCCACGCTCCCACTTCTGGTAAGCCTGCGGGAGTGAGCGCTGGCCTTATTGCCACGGGCCGCGGGCGCACCTTGAGGCTCGTACCCCCGGGAGCGGCAGGAGCCGGGACTGCGCCCGGCCGTGGCTCCACATCCCGGCCTTCCACCGCTGCTCCGTGGCCTTGACGCTCGGCTGGGAGCGGGCAAACCCTCTGAAGGCACTTGTGATACAGCGGCGTCGACGAGCCACGGATCAGGATGAAAGAAGAAACGCGAGGAGGCTTGCCTGACACGGTGACGGACCTGAGTGGGGAGCGCTGCCTCGGGTAAGACTGTTTTCGGTTTCATCCTTTTGTTTCCCTGCTGTGGGAGCTGAAGCTCCAATGTGCTGGATTCGCAGAACTCCAGGAACCACTCCTGTTCCAGGAGGCCAGAGGAGCAAGTTACGGGGGGGAGAGAGGAGTCCGTTTTCCCCGCCAGTACGTTCTGGAAGGGGCGGCAGCAGGAAGTGTCTACACGGGCTCCACGTCACAGCCGTTCCTTTTGGACCGAAGCCCCGCACAGCTAATGGCATCGAGGAATTCGTGATCCCGAGGGACCGCTGTCCTGCCGACATCTCGGGGACATGGCAGCTCTGTGTTTAGAGTCCTGCAGGGCAGT